AAAAAAAAAAAGATTCTGATACCTTACTTTCCATTATTGTCAAAGGCACAATTTTTGCTTTTTATTAACTCCTAGCTTCTTGCTGAGCAGCACAGGGCAAATCTTGTTTATCCACAGTACCCTTCACAGTCTACAGGAGGAATGCCGAGCCCTAACTGTGTACCTTTACCCACTTTATACAGCTCAACTAAATAGATCAATTTGAGCTATCTTTGAGTGAAATTCATATATTGTCCTTCTAGCCTATCTTCTTCCTTTGGGTTTCAATACTCTAATACAAACTGAAACTCAAAAAATTGATTTTATAGTTAATGAACATTTTTTAAGTGTTTTAAAGTGCAGTGGAGCCAGTACTATTATGGAAGGCCATAGTCCATCCTCCTAGATTTGAGGGACAAATCTGTAACCTCAGGATGAAGGAACTTGTTAGAAGAGTGGTTCTGACTAGGGCCATTTTGTTTTAGATTCTCAGCAAGGTTCTTTACAGGGTTTATAGTAACATCCATAAAATAGAAATGCCCAATGTGATTATCAACCTAAGCTTTTGAGACTTAGAGCCACAGCATCAGACTCAGATTTTTGCTCACCTTAGATGTTATCAGATAAAAACTTGTTTCAAAAAATATGGGAAATGAGACTTCTTTTCTTGTTAATATTTACTAGCCCACTACAACTTTTTCATGAAAAGACACAAAATTACAAAAATAACTGTGAAAGCAAGCATAAATCAAATGGTATTTTGAAACGAAGCAAAATAACCAACACAAAGATGAAATTAACAACTTCAACAATAAAAAAAGCTGACAAATCACAATCAGATTGCTTCTGCATGTCTTTAGACTCTCACTGGTGCACACTGTATTTGGAAACCACACAGGCATTATCCCTCACTTGTAAATGAGCTGTGCTACGAAACCACCATAAATTTGTCACCTGGAACCCACAAGTAGAGGTCTGAAGCATTCTCACATATAGGTTCTCTGCTTCATTAATATTAAGGTGAAATACAGTTAAGTTGATAAAAACAAGTATCCTAAAGAAGGAGCTAAGTAGTGATGCACAATTGGGAGCTGTTCGGTCACTCTAGGGCATGATGTAGAGCGTAGAGGAAGCCATTACTACAATGAAAAGGTGGAAGACAAGGACAGGGCTATACACAAGACAGCCCGCCTCACAAAAACTATCCAGTCTGAAAGCTAATGCATTCCCAAATATGCTAGCTGAAAATATTTTAGAATTAAATACTTTATAATTAAAGGAAGCATAATTACAAATGGTTAATTCATATCAATTTTACAACTTAAAATGGGAGGCTAATATAATAAACTTAAGTTAAAATGAATTCTTTCCATGAAAGCAATAATTATACCAGATCATATTACCAGACTGTCTTTTATTCTAAAAGAGCTCAAAGCAATTTATTTAAATGACCAGCTAAAACAGATACATATGGTCTGTTTCTGTTACAGTGATCTGAATACAGATATTAGAAACTGAATTAGGGGAAAAAAACAAAACAAAACAACCCCACCACATCAAATAGATAAACTAGAGGCCGTATCTCTGCTTTCAAAAATACTGGAAATTGAGATGGGGGAGATTTTATGTGAAATGCTTGATATAATTACAAGGAAAAACTTTAACATCAAATGACAGAGAACCAAAATAAGTTGTTCATGTTTTCACTTCCTTATTGAGAATTTAAGGAACCTACAATTGACAGAAGAATACAAATTTAAATCATAAAGCAGGTATAACCTCAAGGCATCACACTTAACTCCCAAATTCATGTCCAATTATGTACACCAACAATATCTGCATGACAAATTATAATCATTTCTCTTGAATGAAACATTAAAAAAAACCTGTTTAAAAAATGCCGATCAATTATTAATCCAGCTAATAAGGCTACAGAATGAGAACTGTGAAGTACCCTCAGGGGCTCAATTGATGTCCACAGCACATACCCTTTTCCCTAAACCACACAAAGCATCTCACACAGGAACCAGAGTAGTGTCTCTTTCAGCCAACTGGTGATGGGAGCTGTTTCCTTGGCCAGCCAGAGCTGCTGCCCTGCATTCTCTACTACAACTAACTGAGTCCATTTCCTCTGCTGTATAACAGACCAGATTACATTAAGAGGAAGTACTTTACCTCTCTTTATTCTTTTAATAAGAATCATTTGTCAAATACCATTATTTACACAATCTCCATCATTGTGAATCTGCTCTCATAGAATT